GCTGGGGAATGGCTGGACTCGGTCTCAGAGAGCCTTTCCAGCCTAATGAATTCCATGATTTTATGAGTAAGAGGGATGGGGGAGCACAGAAAGCAGAGAGAAGCCCTGGAAAGGTTTGGATTTTAGCCAGCTGCAGGTGAACAGGCTGTGGGAGAGGTGCAGTGGGGAGGGTGGCTGGGCTGGCAGCTCCTGGGGCCCAAAGCTCCATCTGATGTTGGTGTGTAGAGCAGGGAAAAAGCTGCTGGGGATAGCTGAGCACCCCACGCCACGAGGATAGAACAGCCTGCAGCAGGATGAAATTCTGCCCTGGCACAGGTGCCCAGAGCAGCTGGGGCTGCCCCTGGATCCCTGGCAGTGCCCAAGGCCAGGCTGGACAGGGCTTGGAGTGACCAGGGATGATGGAAGGTGACTCTGCCCACGACAAGGGGTGGAACAAGATATTCTTTAAGGTCCTTTCTAACCCAAATCATTCCACGATTCTGTGACAGCCTCTGCTAAAACACTGCTGGAAGACCAAGCAAGGGCAGGAAACGAGGCCACTGCTGAGATCTGAGTGTGCCAGGGGATGTGGCTGGATCCCTGCACAGGACAGGGGGGACGAGGGCTCTGCCAGCCACAGCCATCCCCGTGCAGCCACCAAGGAACGCCGCAGCCGGGATTTTGGGATGGGTGAGGAGACAGGGATGGGACACGGAGAGATTTGCTGAGAGAGCTGCAATAGGATCTGCAGCTGCCAGGGACAGCCAGGCTGCAAGACAGCCTGCACTGGGGCGTGAGGGATGAGAGGTGACCAGCCTAACCTAAAGGAACCAAACACGAAGGGTCTGCTCTGTCCCCAGGCAGGACACCCGGACTGAGGTGGGCTCCTGCACAGGGAACACCCGGCTGGGGAACCCGGAGAGCACAGGGGCGGCAGAGCTCTGTGCCAGCCCCCAGCCCCGGTGTGCCCTGCCTGCCAGCCACCCTGGCACGGGCACTGCCCCGGGCCAGCCCCCGGAGGGGATGCCCCTGCTGGCACGGAGTTACCGGTGTTGGAAGAAGCCCTCCAGCGCCTTGCAGACGGCGAAACGCTCGGGCGGGGTCAGCAGGTGCTCCAGCTGCTGCGGGAACGTCCTTCCTTGGATCCTGACGCTAGAGGGGAGAATCTCTGCAACCCACTGCAGGGAGGTGAGGGCCGAGGAGCTGCTCGGGGACTCAGCAGAGTCAGAGTCTGCAAAATAAATATTCCATCTTTCCTTGGCTTCCTTTGGGGGCACCGGAGCGGTCTGGGCGCCGCCGGCTGCGTGCTTTGCGGTAGGTCGGGTTGGATGGGGTGGGGAACGAGCTGGTCTGGTGGGAGGTGCCCCAGCCCAAGGCAGGGGGGTGAAATAAGATCATCTTTAATGTCCCTTACAACCCAAACCAGGCTGCTGCGGCTCTGGGGCTGGACTGAGTGCACCTGCAAACGAGCTGGGGCGTCCCAGGGCTCCTAACGAGGGCTGAGGGGAGCCCAGAGCTGCTCCAGGGGGAAGAGCCAGGCCTGGCTCTGGGCATCAGGGAGCAGCACCCCAACAGCACCGGGACCCTGCAGCCCCCACAGGCCTTGGGGACCGCGCTGTGCCCGGGGCATCCTGCCCTGCACGGGCACCCCCCAGTGCCCAGACACCCCGAGCTCTGTCAGCCACCG